CAATTCTGACTGAGAATATGAGCGCTATTCAGAAAGAAGTACTTGGGTTTTTACTTTCTGACAGAATGTAATGGAGAATCATTACCCATTTCCACACTCTAGGTTTGTATGTTCTCTCAACATGAGAATAAAGGTGAACTAAAACTGCAGATAAACAGATGCATCAGTAAAGGCAAGAGATTCTCAGACTCACTGACAATTAAGAATAATTCCCATGAACTATAGCCGCAAGCAGAGTATCCCCAGTGTATGAATCATATGAACAATGCATAAATTAATGGATGAGTTGAGTTTTAGAAATGTTCGGATCCTCTCATCTCCACCCTACCATTATCCTACTTCATGCATCCTTTTAAGGAGCTTTACATTTAATTGCTCAGCTACATTTAATCCTTCATGCATCCTTTTAAGGCACTTTACATTTAATTTCAGGGCCAATTATTATATACTTATCCTGAGATTACAATGGATTCAATAAACAAGAAAAAGAAGTAGATGACTTTTTAACTCCATGAACAAATACTTCAGCATCTTGACTTGTTTGGGCTTGGGATGCCTGCATGCATCCCCCTAAAAGTAAACAAATTTTTGTTGAAATCAAATGTAGCAACTGATTTGGAAAGTAGTAGTTATTAAGATGGTTCTTGGGCTTTTTGGTCTTTGGGGAATTCCTGTTGGCATTTAAGTGAGAGATGCATACTCTACAAGATCCCTACATGCTTCTAGTGCTTTGGAATATTGTGTGGTTTGAGTGACTTGCAGGCAGATTATGAGGATTTTTATTTGTGTAATTGTAACAAATATGTATTTTTATCAGTTTATTTTATGATCCAGCTGTAAAACCTTTGGAAAACCAAACCTGTCTGAACACATACTGTCAGTATGATGCAGATACTAATCTTGAGGGCATTCTTCTTGAGGCTGTAGCTTGTTGGTACTATTATTTTAATAGATATTGGGATTGAAAAGCTCGTGATTTCTTTGAAACTTCAGTTTAGGTATGCAAATAATTCTTACTTTGGGTTGTGTTGAAGAAATCTCATTAATCAACTTATTCTGAGACATCTGAACACACTCCCTTATATACACAGTCCATATGGCTGTTTCTAATACCTTGTTCTGCATTCCTACTGTTTTTGTATAAGTGAATAAACCATGTTTGTAAATAGAAACACTAGAGAATTTAAAGACAGAATTATGTCTATTATTTTTTCTTTCAAATAAGAAAGTGTTCATGCAAAGAAAGCATTATGAAAATTTTAATTTCCTCTGATTTAGATCTTATTTTTCATAAAAGTGCATTAATTTTTTTGTGGCGGCCGGGAGGGGGAGTTCTATTTCTCTTAAATAAATACTACCTTACATTATTCCTCTAAGAGACAGAGAAGACTTTGGAACTATACAGTATGTCTTACTTTCAAAATTCTCTAAATATTCTTTAGACCCTTTTGAGAATGAAATTTTGACATTCAATAACTTCACACATTATCTTTACAGAGAAAAAGCTCCTTTCAAACCCTATGCCACAGAACCACTTCCACTTTTTAAAAGAACACGAGTCATTAGGAGTAGTGGAGAGTGCAAAGGAGATCAGGAAAGGGCATGCTTTGGGCCAGCAGTCACAGAAACCATGGAGAGGCTGTATGGATAGAAAAAGCAAAACCGTTAAATGTCTTCCTAATCAAAGATAAACTCAGCATGGGTCATCATTTGAACAGCTAAGGTGCTTAGATACTAAAAGGAAAAAGGTTGAATTAGAAAAATAGAGACTGTCTGACTTCAGTGTTCTACCTTTTTGCATTTTTCACCAGTCTTGTTTCTTTTATTAGATTATAGCCTTTTTCTTGCAAGTGCTCCCTACATCCTAACACTGTGTGACCTTTACTGCTGAAAGCCAGATTTACATAGGCTATATTGGGAACACATTTGTTTGTACAAAGTACCAGACACTGAAGTTGTTAAATGGCCAAGTTTACCAGAGCTTCTGTCTAGTAAGTGCTCAAACAAAGCAAGTAAAATTTATTTTTTCCTCTTAATATGTGGCCATTATCATATTACACTATTATTCTGTGGAGGAGAAAAAAATGAAATACAATGGTTTCTTTATGCGAACAGTCCAGAAGGGTCTGCCATAACCTCTCTGAATGGGCCTTACTCTGTAGTAATATAAGAAAATTTTGGGTTTTAGTACTTGATCACCCTTAAGGAATCTTTTAATTCTGTATTATTTTTTGCTGATTATAGAAATTACTGTATCCTTCTGGTCTGAGCAGCTACCAATTTATAATGTCTGTATCTTACCAAAGTGTTACTCCCTCAGAGCGTCTCATTTCTGTATGTAGTGTGATTGAGCTTTCAGTGAAAGAAACTGTAATACGTGTCTTTTCTTTGTCTTCCTTACTTAACTAGAAATGAGAACAGTTGGGTGACAAACAATTCTGATAAATGTTCATCAGAATTTGAAACTTGCAGCTGAAATGTTTGTAGGTGGCAAATAAGACATGTTACTTGGACCAGATCAGATACAAATTAGACAAATTAGTTCTCATGGTTTTCCTAAATGTGACAGGGTTACACTATATTGTAGTTAAATAACAACAATATTAGTGTAGCATTGGTTTATGCAACTGAGTCCCCTGAAAAATTAAATCTTTTAGTTTACTAATTAAATGATAAGAAATAATTCCAGGTATTTTTCTTGTGCTGTGCAGACATCAGAGAATAACAAAATTGTAATATCTATGGCAGTAATTATTCATTTGACAGATAAACGTTGTGGAATATTGGCTACTAAAATAATCAACCTTACTTTATCATATCTTATTTGAGTTGTTGGTTTTCTGGGTTTCAAATTCTCCTGAAACCAGCATCATGGTTTTGGGTCTGGTTAATGACAACAGTCCTCAGACAGAGGAAAGCAAGTGACAGCTCCCCATTACTTTTTTGTTTGCTTGCTTTTTTGTGTTTATGTTGTAATTTTATATTTTCAGACCTGTGGCTTCCTAAAATAGCAAAACCATCTCAAATGTCTGGACCAAGACTGGGTTTTGGACCAACCTCTTTCTTCTGGAGACTCAATTGCAAACAAAATTAAATGTGAGCTTATTGTCCACTTGAAGCGTATGTTTTTCAAGTTAGAACTGTAATTAGCCAATTCAGCAAATTCAGTGTCACTGATGTTCAAGATGGGCTGAGGTGTGGACTAAAAGCTCTCAGGTAATCTTATCTGTTCTTAAACTTTTCTCGTGTGTGAAATTTGCCAGGTTAAATTTGCGTTGGCAAACCTCAAGACAACAAAGGAAGCCAAGCTCTGTAATGCTACAAGGAGTGAAGTACCAGCATCACAGTAAGGCTCAGTGAACTTCCTGATACAGAACTTGGATTTATTGTAACTTTTTATGACTTTACAATATATTGCAATTCAGTCTCTAGTGAATATGCAGGAAGGCAAACTTAAATCATCATAACTTCCTTTCATTCCAGATGGTTTCTATGGGCTTCTGAGATTTATCTTCAACATAGAATGTATTTGTAGTTTTAAAATTTATCATAACAATTCTCTTTGCTACTAGCTTTGCAAAAGCACTGTAATTTCTTTAATGTAATGACAGTGTAGGGAGGTGTATTATATCGGTTCTATTAAACTTAAGTTCCTATCCAAAGCTCCATTAGACTTAGTAAAGGATAAAAAAAGAGGTGTGCCCAGAAAAAGTATTGACCCTGGGTATGGAAATCGCTAGGTCTGATCTACACTGCCTCCCATACTGAGGAAGAAAGTCTTGTGTAAACAGGTTTATGCCATCATTGTTGAACCTGATACACTGGAGTCTAATTTCTAACTCTTTTCTCCCTTCTTTCCCACTTTTATTTCTGCTGTGGTAATTGTTATTTCAGAACTATTCACTGTGAAAATTGACCAGTTTTCCTTTTCTAAAATACCCAGTACCAGCTCAGATACCTCAGAATCTTGGGCTAAGCTATTTTGCATGAAATTAAATGAAATCCAAAATCACTTTGACTATTCTTTATATTGACATGTTTTAATTAAACCTTTTAAAAACTAATACTGCTGTATGTGAAATACTACTCTTTGCAGAGAGTAGTATGATAAAGGTATAAATTGTATTGTGTTAGCCTGTAAAGTTTTGATTGAAGCCCTGCTGGATACAAAGATTCTCCATAAATTTCAACTAATCACAGAGGCTGCTTCTGGGTAAGTAGGTAAGTTTCAGTGGTCCTCAAATTTATTTGACAGAGTCCAGATAAAAGAAAAGTAATTTTAGAAAATGAGCCTATCACTAATGATTTATTTTTCATTAAATTTGTTGTTCACTTATGAATGAAAATTTTTAAGATTTGAAAAAGGCCACATTTATTTTCAAAGCTTTTTACAAAAATGTAACAACAGTGACATTATAGCTTTCTGACTATCCAAGAAAGAATGCTTAAATTTTTTTTTGTTCCGTGGGGTTTTCTTGTTTGTGTTGCGTTGTGAATATGAATTTTCTTTTTGACAGAGAGTAGTCTTCTGAATGTGGAATTTGATTATGAAAATTTCTTTAAAAATAGCACAAAATTAAACTATATAGAAATTTTTATATCACTATTTCTGCATTGTTTTGTAAACTTACAACATTTTAAAAATTAACATTAAGCAGTACGTAGAAATACCTCGGATTGGCACTTAGGAACTTCTGGAAAGGCAAATGTGATACTGTTTTTTCTGACACGTAGTAAAGTTCAGTGGTAGTTTCTGGTTTTTCTCTCCAGTTTGCAAACAAATGCACACAGCGTGAAACACAGTCTGGCTTCAAGCAGATTGCTACTAAATCATGCGTTTCATGACATGTCCTTGTAAGTGTAGAGCTCCTCAGTTACATTTTAATAGCGCAATCAAATGAGCTGCAAGTCACATTGGAATTTTTTCTCTACCTACTCTTGAGATTGGAGTCTTAGGGTAGAGACGCTCTCAGTACATGTGGTAAGAGGAGAGAATGAGGGGAGACGGATCACTGCATTACTTCCTTCATGTTTTTTTTGGATATGACTAGCATTCCTCCCCTTACACACACCCTCTTTTTTCCCCAGCCCCCATCTCTTACATGCATTACAAGCTCATACAAACACTCTCACGTTCTCTGAAGCGAAAGCAAGAGCAACAGTTGGACTGAAGCCAGAGGACTTAGACTTCGCTTCCTCGTTGCCAGCAGGCTTTGTTCTTTGGACTCACTCAGAACTGGGGAGAACGTCTTCAGTGCTGATTGTGAGTGGTTGGAACTTGGCAACGCGGCTGTCCATTATTTTTTTTCTGTGCTCCTCTGCAAACTAGACTGAATTCAGAGCAGCAAAACTAGGAGCCAGGAATAGTCAAGAAATAAAGGATCCGGAGACCATCAGCTATCAGCTTCTTTGTGGGTGGTGGGGGTCCGTCTGTTCCGCAACGGTAAGTGCCAGCATTAAATGTATATGAAGATGCAAGAAACAATAAGGTGCTTTAGCTATTTTACTACAGTATGGGAGGGGAAAGAAGTAAGTGAATGAATCATACAGTGTGTGCTTAGTTAAAGTGGTCTCAGAACAGTCCCTGGCAGTAAAATGTTCCTCTATTCTCCTTTTCCAAAAAGCACTATAAGAATATATGTATTTTAGCAAAATTCCTAAGTACCTGTACAATTCCAGAAAGCTTTCAAAATGACTTCATTATTGGGGTTTCTGCAAATTTGTTTTGCTTTGAATAGTGTGTAGCATAGAGTAACTTTAACTAGCAGAGAAACTCATTTGTTTTAGGTGCAAGAGCTGAACCTGGGAAGTAAAGATCTTCCATCATAGAGGATATGAATAGAGTTAAAGTTCAGGAGGATGAGGGAGTGAAAAGGGATGAGACGCTTCCTAAGACTGTTTAGGTTGTAGGAACCCAAAATAAACTTGTTTTAAATGATTGGCATTCATTCAGAGCACACACAGCCCCTCCCCCCTCTCTGGCATTAGAAGCCAAGTGATTCTGTTTCTAAAGACAAAAAGCTTTGGGGGTCTCCTGTTCTAGTAGTGCAATGTGAAAGCTGATGTACACTGGAAAAGAGTGTATGCCTGGAAAAATGACTCTGAGAAAAGAAAAAAGAAACTTGGTTTTCTTCCAGTAAGCAAAATGATTTAGCTGTTCTTGCTTTATAAAGCATTAACACTGCTGTCTTTTAAGTTTACTAGCAGAGTGGATTGCTTTATGACAAAGACTTTTTTCTTCATCTCCCTGTCTTGTCTTTAGGAAAAGATTTATAATGATCAGCACAGAGGCAGGTTAATCCAAATGCTTTGCTTTCAGAAATGCCATCTAGCTGTCAAAGGAAATTCACTGTAGGGACCCATTTGTTTTAAAGCTACTGATAAGCCCTGCTATCAGCATGCTATTATGTCTTGTTGTATGGTTTATCTTAATAAAGTGATAAATAAGAAACCTTTGAAATCCAAAAGTTCAACTGTGTAATAAATTTGACAAAAGGGGAAAGACCAGGTTATTGAATGTACGTATGTACTTACACAAGTAAATAAACAAAAAACAACACACAAAAAAAATTCCCAAACACCAAAAAACCATTGAGAACAACCAAAAAAACCTTTACTGGGACAATAGACCTGAAAAGAGGAAAGCTTTTCTTTCCATTCCTTTAACTCTGGCTTCATCATCTACTTCAAGCAGTTTCAATATTTTGTGTTGACAAGGTGAGTGGTCCCTTCCCCCTCTCCCTTATTAACTGCTGTTTTTTAGGGATTTGTGAAGGTGAATCTGGTCACATGAATAATATGCTGAATAAGCAAATAGGTGATTTTGCAAAGTATGGCAGGCACAGTCAATTAGCTGTTTGTTTGAGGTCTGTGAGTTTGTTTTTTCTAATTCAGAACTGTAACCAAGGCTCTCCCATTCACTTTCACCCTTTGTTTGGAAGAATACTCTGTTTGTTGTGGTAATTGGTAAAAATTATCCACTAAATTCTGTTACTATAACTTGACTGCAAAACAGCGGTCAGGGGAATGGTGTGCAATATATTAGGATGCTGGGGAAGTTCAGTACACATTTTGTTTGCCATGTACTAAGGCACTTCTTTCTGTAGCAGTTACTAGCTCTGTTTATGAATTCACTGAGCTTGAGTCGCACACTGGAGCTAAGCAAAGATTCTTTTTCAGAGCTAAAATGGAATAGTGTTTTCCTGAGTTGGGCTCCCCCCTGTCAATGGCACCATGTCAGGTTGCCTCAGCAGCTTCTTTCAGTTTCACAGTTTACATGGGTGCTATAATGACATTTTTTCTCATTGATGTGGTGTAAAAGTCTGACATCTTTATGCTGTTTTTCCTACTTTGATATGCTAAAGTGTATTTTCTACTTACTGTGAGGTTTGGCAATGAGTGGTGAGTTCCGAGATGGGCCTGTACCAAAACCCCTGGATTCCAACATCTATGAAGTATGAGAAGGTTAATAACTGGATCCAAACGTCTTGGCTCTGGCCTATTTCTGTTTTAATGCACATCACTTTGGCCACATGTTTAAATTGGTTTTTTTTGAGGTGATTAGGACTGAAAGAAATCTTTCAGGCTGCAGAGAGACTTTTAAAAAGGAAGTGGCATTTAAGAATCTTGCAGTTAGTTAAGCAAAGCTTGCTCATTTTCTGCTTAAACTTGATATTTAGGAACCCCCAAGGAATTACATTCCCCTTACCCTATTATAGCTTTAGATGTAAGTAATATTTTGGAACTCCTTCAGAGATGTGCTGAGAAAGCTGGGGTGCTTTGCACCTATCGATCCTACTTGCTGGAGTGGAGCAATGGAGAAGGCTAGCAGCATTCATCCAGGTAATGCAGGTACCTCAAAGGTTTTATTTGGACCTAAGTGATCTGTCTATAAGCTTTTAACGAAGTGCCACATACTTACTCATCTGTGCAAAAAATTGTGGTACCCCATGGTAAAAAATTCTGTAGTGCAATGTAAGGGGATGCACAGATCGTTACTGAAATCATGGTTATTCTTCTTTTTTAATTGATCCACTTCTACAAGTCTGGCTGGCTTAATGGATTCAGTGGTGCTCTGTGAATACAATTACACATACATCTGCCAGCTGCTTGTGGTATCTCTGTTTGCTTCAGCAATAAAAGCTGTTCTTGGACTATGTTGGCTCACTGTGGTTTGTGGCACACAGCACTGATTTATTAGGCAGTAGTTGCATTTTTTTCCTTTTTTCATTGAATGATTGAACTGTGATGTCATTTTTTGTCTTGGCTTTAACCTTTTAAAGAACATTTTATTTTCTTTTTTTTTTATTTCCTGTAGGCTATTCTTTTAACACTAGAGAAGTGGGAAATGTCCCAATATTAATTGCAGAGCAACTCTGTCTACCCCAGCACATTCCAGGGCTACCAAATAATTTGTGGTGAGAGTGATTCAGATCTGGTTAAGATGATTTAAAAGAGGGGTTATGGGCATACTGCAATTGTGAATTTAAGAAAATACAGCGAGTTTTTTACTGCCTGATTGAGACCACATGGCTCCAACTTAGACTTTTTTTTAACATGGAAATTGTTGGCAGGATGTACTCAAACGATTTTTTTTTTTAATTGCCTAGAGGCCAGGAGTTGGGATCGTAGCATTTAATGGTAAGGTCAGGGTTAAAACAAATAGTTTTTAATGTTTCTTTCAATAAAAGGAGAAATGGCTCCTTTGAATATTTTGCACAGAGTACAAACATGCCTCTCTTAAATGAGTGCAAATGTATCTCAGGAATTCTTTTGGACATTACAGAGTGATGGCTGACCTGATTTGAGAGAGAGGGAGGAGGACAGAGATAAGGGAAGAGCTCCCTGTCATAAATCACAGTAAATATGTTCCATTCCAAATACGTTATGGAAAGTATGAAAAGTAAAAAGGAAGGACAATGACCTTATTGATTGTATGCATTTTAATTGCTTGCTCTCAAAGTTACTGTTTTGGGCTGCTCTTAAGAAAAATGAAAAGCTTATATTGTTAAACACTTCATTAAATAAACTGTTGTAATTATCAAGAACAATGTATATTCCTAATGTGAAGGGTGACACTGTAATCATCTATACTGTAGGCACTTGTTACTAGTATATTCTTTTTATGCATATTGTTAATTCTGAAATAGTTACTCTTAATCAAATCTTGTTTTTCCCTCAGTACTCTCATAGTCCTTTCTTCTCAATTATATCCTTTCTCCCATAAACTGATGCATAACACTTGATATAAGACTTTCACCCAAATCTCCTTCAGATGTATTATATGGTGAATGTTATAATATCATATAACATATAACAATATATATTATATGGATACTTCCTAAAAAAGAAAACAAGTTCATGGAGTTTCAAATTTAGAAAACAGATCAAAAGTTATAGCATTGAAAAACATGGATTGGAAGATGAAGTAATGATGAAGAACTATTCCTACAGTAGTAGGATGCATGCACGGCAATTTCTCTAGAAAAAAATATAGAAGTATTATTCTACAACAGCAAATCCAATAAACAACAATCAAACTTTTTACTGTCTTTAAGTATTAGGTTAGTAAATTTAGCTACCTGAAACTAAAAAAAAAGAGAATAATCAGTCGTATAGCTGTGTACATCCTTTTGAACTAGTTCCTTGCTTAACTTTACTTCTCTCCCTTATTTCCAAGAACTTTGTTCTTAAATTAAAAAAGAAGGTTAAAACAAAAAAAAAACCCAACCTTTAACCAGGGTTCATAAATCACTGTTCCTTAATTTCTGCCTCACACAAAATACAATGTAAATGTTTAAAAGTTATTTGCTTTATAAAAAAAAAAAACAACTTTGAAGTGCACAATGCAGGTGGGAAAGCTATTAGTATTTCTAAATAACTGCTGTGAGAATTAATCAGAGGTTAAAATGTATAATACAGCACCCTGACATTCCTGTCACTAGTATGTTAATATGTTGTGTCAATGTTCAGTTTTACTGTATTAATGCATAGGAAATATGTAGAACCAACCTGAACTGTTTTTATACTGGACAATCCTAATTGTAGTGTGGATAAAACAGTACAGTCTTTCTACCAAAAAACCCAAAGCATGGCCTTTATGGTGCCCAATCTTAAAAGGATCATCCTGTGCCTGAAGTCTTTGACAAATTCCAGAGCCCCTCAGTGCTTTACAGCTTGAGTGAAGCAGAGGTGGCTACACTCTGTCGTGTCATATACATGGAAGTATCCCCATGTCTTCATAGAAAGAGCAGAATATTCTGTTCTTTGAGAGGTCTCTGGGACAGCTTTGATAGGGCTGCTGAGGGCATGCAGGTATTAATCTGTAGCTAGATTGACATTTGCCATTCTTCCAAAACTTAATGACTACTTGCATGGTTTTTCTGACTGTAATGCTAATGCAATCTGTGCTGCACTGCTCATATGTAGAACAGATTCCCTCTC